CATGGTTTCAGCCGCCGCCCCCGCCGCCGCCGCCGCCGCCGCCCAGCCGCCCCGGCTGCATGGAGCGACGCCGCTGCGCCCCCGGCCCTGGCTGCCGTCCCGCTGCGCCGGGGACAAGCCCGGCCGCATGGCCCCCTCCCCTCGCGAGCCCCCGCCGCCCCCCTCAACCTCAGGCCAAGAGCCCGAGGGGGGCGCCGAGCCGCGGCGGCACCTGCTCTGTGCGCGGCGCCCCGCTCTCCCCGCGCTGCCGCCGCCGCCGCCGCTCCCGCAGCCCTGAGTTCCTTCCCTGCTGCTAACTTTCTGCCGGGAGAGAGGACGGGCGCCGAGGGGCGGAGGCGAGGGGGCCGGGCGCGCGCCCGCCGCCGCCCGGGAAAGGAGGGGTGCGCTTTGCGCGCGCCTGCGGAGGGGTGCGCGGGGATGGAGGCGTGCGCCAAGCCCGGGGAGCCCGGGAGAGCCGAGAGCCCAGTCCCCACCAGCCGCTGCCAAGAGCACGCGGAGGACCCTGCCCCGCCCTGTAGCTGCGCTCCCACGGGAGTCCGAGATGCCCGCGCGCTCGCCAGCGTTTGCTCCAGACTCTTGGAGGGAACTGTAGCCCAGCGCCGGCCTGGGCCGTCGTGGGCTAGGAAGCTGCGAGCCTGACAGTGGCGAGTTCGCCCCTGGTCTCCTCCAGTGGGACTCTGAGCAAACTCAGCCCATTTCTGACCCTCTCTTCCCTCCCCTTGTTTTGCCTAGCTTTCTGGAGCAGTTCCTTCCCCACACCTTTCTCACCTCAACTTCCACCTCTTCATCCTTATCTTTGAGGCCCCTGATGGGTGGAGCTTTGACACAGACCCCAGGGTTTTCCCAGACTCAAAGCTTTTGCCCCTGCCCCATCACCTAGTGACTGTCCTTTCTGCTGGGAGATGGCGCTGTCGCCTACCGGGTCCCTTTAACCACAGGTGCACCCACCTGTGCCCTGTGGAAGGCACTGCGGGCTGAGTGAGCTTGGGGTTCCCTGAGCTGACACAGACTGGGGTCCGCATCCCTCCAAACACCGAATAACCAGAGGGATGTCTGTCCGCGTGTCACTTCCCTGAATATTTTTATGTGTGTGTGCTCAGCAGAGAGGTTTCCAGCCCCCCTCTCACTGGGTGGTATCAGGAGGCTTTGGGAGACTCTAAAGTGGACCATGTGATGTAGCCTTTAGCTCAGAATAAAAAGGGGGAAATGGAGCTAGAATTGGGGGGTCAGGCACTCCAGGGAAGCTGTCTTCCTGAGTGCTGGGGCTGGTTCTGGTGAGTTTGTTCTACCCTGCTAGGCACAGCTAGCCCAGACTGTCAGCTCTCCCCTCTCTTGCTTGTGAGGCTGGCTTCTCCTGTTCTATTTGATCTCATGATGGGAACAATAGTTGAAAGAAAATGTATATAATGTCTAAATATTAACAAGATAACCTAGTGCCAACGAGAGGAAAAATGTTAATCAAATATGATGAAGAACGGGGACTTTTCCCTGGGTGAAAAAAAGCTCACTGCTGCTCTCAGCTGGACATGAGTTTTCTACACCTCAGCTTTAGTTCAGATAAAGATTATTTCTTTATAATATATTTTTTATGGTACACAGGAGACTCTGAAATGTGGAGTCTGGTGTCCTGTAAATCATTCCCTGTAACTAGAGATGCTTTCCCCCCCCCCCGCCCCAACCACCACACAACTGCATTCCTGTAATATTAATGGGAAGGCCCAGCTGAAGCTGCCAGAAGCACCGGCTTCATCCAGCCCTCCTTCAGCTCCAAGCCCAGCTTTCAGGTGGTCAGCCTGGAGGTCTGAGTGTCTGTTAATGTTGTCACTGCCTTGGGTTGGTCCCCTTTCCCTAGCTAGGGCACTGAGAGGCTGTAGCCAGAGCCTTCCTGCAGTTGTCCCGCAGTTCTCAAACTCTATCTCAACCCCCAGCAGTCAAAATAGACCTTCTCTATGGGCAGTTTTTGCTAAGGACATATTCCCAGACTTGGGGAAAAAAAATTTTAATAAAATGATGTTAAAAGGTAGCCCAGAAAAAAATGCAAGGTGATATAGCAGATACCAGACATGCAGAACAGAAAGATGGGAAAACATTAAAAACCAACTCCAACAGCGGGAAACTGCAGTCTTTCCCTCAGGGATCAGTTCACTCGCTGAAAGTCTGAATACACAGCTATGGCTGAAAACACGCAACTCAGGCCTTCAGCAAGAGCCGAGCAGACGCTGTCCCTCCAGAGGAGCCTGCAGCCTCCATAGTTCCCATGTCTGTCTGGGCTGTCCCTGAACGTCCATGATACTTATCTGGATACCGTAAGATTTTTTTCAGAATCCTTTCTGTTTCTGATACCTAAATAGCCATACTCAGAAGTGTGATGTTTCATTGATGAAACACCATGCCCAAGAGGTGATTGGGAAGAGGGAGGCATGCACTCTGCTTGTCAGTGCCCCCCGCCCCCGTGTGTGTGTGTGTGTGTGTGTGTGTGTGTTCTGTTTCTTAGAGAGTAACTGTGCATTCCGTACCAAGGTAGCTGCATGCTTCTCTCTGCTATGTAGGAGAGACTTCTCTGGGAACGTACCCTTAAGAAACTCACAATAAAGAGATGCTCTCTATGTAGAGAGAATGCCAGCTCCAAGCTGCAATGCCCACTGGGCCTGGAGACGAGGAGCAATGTTGTTTGCTGCTTCCACTGCTAACACCGTGCTCACTCAGGCCTATCTGAGTTTTCACAGTTTTCTCCCGATGCATCTTCAGGCCTCCAAACACCTCATTTCTATTCATCCTCCGGCAGCAGCAGCAAGCAGATCAATGCCTCTGAGGGACGCTCCTTGCTTCTGCTAATGCCCTTTCTAGATCTTTCCCTACCTGATAAACTCCAACCTCCTTCCTCCGGAATTTCCACCCTGCATGCACCCCATAGCCCTGCCAGACAGATAGGATCTCAGCACACATGAGCATACTGTGCTCTGCTTCTGCAACTTCAGGTGATGGTAAGACAAACCTGCTAGTTGCTACCTAATGGCTTTGAGCAGACCAATTTTTTTTCATAGTTTCTATGTAGTTAAATGACGGATGATAAGAATCACCTGAAATTGTTTTTGCAAAGAATTAGATTGAATTAGCTAACATATGCAAAAGAAACCTGGCTCTCTGCCTGATGTGTGGTGGCCATCAATAATTAGTTGGATCTAAATCTTGGCTCAGAACCTGCCTGCTTCTTTTCCTATTAAAATGTTGTCCCTGCAAAATGTATCTGTGTCCTTGCTTCAAACACAGCCCCTGGAGTTCACTGAAGTGTAACTTTCGAAACTGCTCAGCACATGGCAGCTGTGATGCCAAGCCTTGGGAGTGGAAACGATCTCTGAGTCACTTCAGTTGTGGTTTTCTGGACATTTTAAAAAGAATTCTCCAGAAGAATTTTTTGGTGATTTGCTTAGTTGGGGGAAATTTTTTTTGAAATAAAGAAATAAGCAATAGGTTTTAGGGAAGTCAGTGAAATGTAGAGTAGCCAATATTCCCCCCAAACACTGTCCTGCCTCCTTGTGGGTACACAGAAGGGATGTGATTTCTGCCAGAACATGTGGCCGTGGAATGTTCCAGCTACTGGAGCAAAGCCTGAGCAGAAGGGAGGACATCCGTTCTAGGTGGAAGCTTGAAGAGACCCTGTCCTGCCCTACTGGGCAACTGTGGAAAGAGGAGATGGAGTTCCTCAGGGAGAATACAGACCCAGTGACATATATCCAACTGATCTGTGATCCTGCGTGGATTTCAACATGAAAGACTTGGGCTTGGTTGTTATCACAACACAGCCTGTACGACCTGACTGATTACAATCCACCTACTAATTCTGACTTGCAATTCATTTGCTCTAGCTCAGGAGGATTCCAGGTTAGCATGCCTAGAGACACCTGCACAGGAATGTTTATTCCTCTGCTGTTCCCAACAGCCAAGACGCAGAGCCAGCCCAGATGTCCAGCAACAGACGAAGAGCTAAAGAAATCTGATGGATGAAATTATGTCATTTCCAGGAAGATGGGTGGAGCTGAAGGTCATTATGGTGAGTAAAATCACCCAGAAAGATGGTATCACATCTTTCTTAGGCAGAATCTAGGTTTT